ACTTGGCAGTTCTTCCACCCATCTCCCTTTTGCGCCTGTCAGTCGTGTGTGTAAGCCATGGAGAATGCTCTTGTTAGCTGCCTCTGCTTGACCATTTGCTTGTGGGTAGGCTACCGAAGAGAAACGCAACACCACTCCATTGTCGTCACAAAACTCAATGAATTTTTTGCAATCGAATTGTTTCCCGTGATCTGTGACAATGGATTCAGGCAAGCCAAATCGGGTGAAAATGTTCTTCCTGGTGAACTTGCGCACTTGGGCCTCTGTGACCGTGGCCAAAGGTTCCGCTTCTATCCACTTAGAGAAGTAGTCGACTGCCACTATCAAGTACTTCATTTGACCAGGCGCCTTTGGGAAAGGGCCCAAAAGGTCCATGCCCCACTGGGCGAACGGCCAGGCTCCTACATTGCCTTGCATGGGTGCTGCCGGGATGTGGATAGTTGCATGCGGACCACCGTGTCCTTGAACAACACGTCCATCGAACTCCCTGTGTCAACGAGCATTCTCCTAACCTGGCACCCTGCCACCACACCTTGTATCTCCAGGGCGTCCATGGATGGGAGCATGCATGCTTCTTCGGGTGCCCTATTGAAACTGATGTCTATCGCCTCTTGGACTTCCGCCGACGCCGCCCTCAAGCGACGATTCGCCTCTATCTTCTCTCTCAAGTCCACTGTCCCCGAAATAGCCTCTATAGTCAGGCGCACCCGATCGGGCGCGTTTTCTTGGTCGAGGTCGTACGGCGGTGGTGGTAGCTTTTCCATTGTTTTTTCTACACCGGCCACGCAGGCCCGATGCACTCTTTCTTCGGGCTTCTTGACGAAGTCACTGAGCATCCCCCTGTCAGCCAAGCCTTGCAACTCGGTCTTCAATTGGTAGCAGTCGGCCGTGTGGTGTCCCACCTCTCGGTGGAAGTCACAATATCGATCCAGGTTCCGCTCATTGGGCTGCCCTCTCATGGGGCCCGACCACCTGATATGATACCCTTTCTCCTTGACATGCTGGAGTATGTTTTTCAGCGTGTCTGTATATTCGGCAAAGGGTCCCCTGGGTGCTGGACGCCCGGCGTCCATCCTCCTGGGAGGAGGGGGGTTTGCGGGCGCATACCCCGGACCGCTTGCAAAGTGTGGCTTCCTCGCCGGCTCCACCTCCTCTCCTTTCGCCTTTCGTCGGTCAGCTCTCCTGGCCGCCAACGTTTCTTCGAGCATGATTACCTTTTGCACCCGGTGATCCAGGTCTTCAGTGCACACTACGTCTCTCTTTGCTAGCGACCTGCACAATTCCTCGCTGGTGGTGCACTCGTTCAAGCACACTCCCAACACGGATGGCTGCACATCCTTCACTGCCAGAGCCACAGATAACCACCTCTCATAAAACTCCCTCAGCGCCTCCCCCTCTCTTTGCTTGATCTTGAACAGGGCGCCTATGGTTAGGGTGCGCCGTTTCCTGCTGGCGAACTTCGCAAGAAACATCTCTGCAAATTGATCGAAGCACTCGATGCGCCCTTCTTCGATTTGGTAATACCAATCGAGCACCATGCCTGAGAAAGTCGACGGAAACACCTTGCACAGGGTGGCGTCTGTGCTGTTGTAAAGCTGCATCTTGGTGAAATAACCGTTGAGGTGGTCCTCCGGATCAGTGACCCCATCATAGGTGGGTAGCGGGGGGATGTTGGTCCCCGTAGGCTCCACTAGTATGTTGCGTGCCAACGGCTGTCTCACAGGTCTGTGACGAGACAGGCGCCCCAAAATTCCTCCATTCCATCCTCCCGTTTCTAACCCCTCGTACTCGCGCGGACGCCACAAACCGGGGCGCCTCTGATATCCCGATTCACTTTCCGTCTCCGCCACCCTTTCTCTTTTCTTCGTTGGACTAGGCGTCATCCCTCCACCTCTCTTTAGGGCGTCAACCTCCTTTCGGAGCGCCTCGATTGCCCCATCTTGGTCTTCGATGATTCTGAACAGCTCTCTCTTCGTCATCGAGGCGCCTTCCGACCCTCGAAATATGCCATCACTTTCCTCCCTCTCATCCATCTCGGGCGCCAGCCCCCTTAACCGTTCCGACTGGTCCTCCGTGACCTCCTCCCTTTCTCTTCCATCGCTCACCTCCATTTCCTCACTCATGACTTCAGGTTATACTTCCCCTTCCTGGCGCGCCAATTGTTTGAGCCACTATACCCCCTTCTCAGTTCGGGCGTCTCTCTTCGCCTGGCGTCGTCCTACACACACAAAGAGGAGGGCGCCTCGGCCCGTTAATCCTCCGACGCCCAAGTTAGTTTCTCGGAGTGAATAGAGTTCTCAAGTACTGTTTTAGTGAGAGAGAGACCAACCTGTATAAATGCTATCAACTGCCCCTATTTATACTCACCGAACCCGAGGTTGATCTCCTCCACGTCACTGCCCTCATTTAATGCTCTGCGTCCCCATTGTGAGACATCCAACAGCCTTGTCAGGCTCCTGACACGCGACAGGCGCCCGCAGGTAATGGTCCCCCCGACAGCTGGTTTCCTTTTGGCTTTTAGTGCTTTATTCTTTGGGCCCTTCCCCTTATCTTGGCCCAAGGGCTTCTGGTGGATCCTTTTTCGGGCCTTGCCCCCCAATTCCTTAATTCTGGGAGCCCAAGTCCCCAAGACCGCTCGTTCTACCCCCAACAACGACGAATCGGAAGGAGGGGACGGCGACTAGCACTGACCATGGAGATGGCGAGTGGGGAGCGGGGAGCGGGGAGCTGCTACGGGGAGTGGGGATGCCGACGATTTCGACGGGACTCGCCGAATCCGTGACGGCAAGTGTCGACGGCGACAGGTCTGGCGCTGCTCTTCCTTCTCTGTTCGCGAAGAAGACGAAGAAGATGAAGTGAATTGTTGCTAGGGTTTTTTCCAGCCCCGACGTTTTGCCTTCATTTTCACTTTTTCAGTTTTTTTTAATTAATCATAACGGCCTGAATGGGGTAAAACCGAGTGACCGACTTGAGCGGCTCGAGCGGTTAACCGCCTCGATCGCTCGCCGACCGCTCCAGAAAGGCAGAACGACTAATTGACTGATCCGAACCGGTTTTACGTTCGGGTGGCGACTTTAGCGGTCCGGCCGGCCGGCTCGGCTCAGTTTTAACAGCATTGGACTCTTCCGTTGCACACGCTATTCGTAGCTATTAGCCAGCTCAGCCTTTGCTCTATGGAGCCCGCCATTGTTGCTCCTCATCTCATTATACTGAAGGATAACTAACTTATGACAACAGTGACATTTTTGGATATGACACATGACAGGAAGAAAACAATGGACTTTTAAGTAGGCACCTACCAAACACTTACCAATACCATCCACCATAGTACCCGCTAACACAATCCGAAAAAGTTATTGGGCTCACACGCGTCGTGTTTTATGAAAAGAATCGAAATATATTAGACGATAAATAAATAATATTAAATTGTTATAATATCGTTGGGCTTTAAATTTTTTTCTTAAATTCCAATGAGTGACCTTGTTGCCTTGAACCTTGATACCTCATACTAGGGGTGGGCATCCGGTTCGGGTTTACTCTTCCGAACCGAGCCAAACCGATCCCGAACCGACCGAAACCGAAATTAACATTAATCGGTTCGGAATTCGGAAATCAAAAAGCCATACTTCGGAAATCAGGGTTGCACGACCGAACCCGAATTCCGACCAACCGAACCGAGTTCCGAACTAAAATATTCAACCCACCATACATACTAACCAACCAAGCCCAATCCCTCACAACCCAACTCATCGACCAATCTCTCACAGCCCGATTTCTCCTACAGTCCAGCTCACAAATTCCTAACCCTAATCACCTTCATCTCAACCTGCCTCCCCTTCAACGCACAGCTGTCGGCGCTCGACATCTCTCATCGCCACTCACCGATCGACCCCCTTTCCATTTCTAAGCCCTCCGCTCGATCTCGCCACAAAAAACCTACAAAACATAGAACGAAACACATCCATATAAAAACCACCATCAATAGTGAATCAATTGATGCAAGAACAAGCATAGGTTAAAACCCTTTAATAAATCCCTAATTGAAGAAGAAAATCCCTAGAAACAAACCCAAGTAAGGGAGGCGGAGAAGCATTGATCAGCGGCGACATGCAGAAATCAGAATCCAGAATCCAGTAACGGAGCCGACAGAAAATAAAGAGAAGGTATTGAAGATGAGGTGAAGGGAGAGTGGAGCAGTAAGAAGGGGGGATAGGCGAAGGGTTGGGATCGAAGATGGAGGAGGTGGAAGTAAGATCCATCGAAATCACCTCGAAGAGATGAGCTCGACCCGATGGCAGCGGACGGAAGAAGAAGAGCCTTGTCGGAAAGAGGAGAGGAGAGCTCGACCTGGCGGCAGAGGCCAGAGGGGGAGCTGAGCTCGACGTGACGGCGGCGGACGAAGAACAGCCTCGCCGAAAAGAGGAGAGGAGAGCTCGAACCCGACGGCATAGGAAGAAGAGCTCGAATCCGGCGGCAGAGGAAGCTCTAATGTGGTCGCTGGAGAGGAGAGAAGGAAGTGGGGGAAGAGTACAAATTGGGTTTTTTGTGTCTTGGTTGATGAGAAGAAGATGAAATAGTGACAGTGGGGGAAAATCGGGAGATCGGGTTTTCCGTTTCGAACCGAGTTATATTGCGGTTCGGACAGACCGAACCGAAATATAATTCGGTTCGAAATCGGTTTCAGCTTTGGGGGTATTGGGGGTACCGTTATGCTCTTGTTCGGTTCGGTTTGAACCGAACCGATGCCCACCCCTACCTCATACCTTCATTGGCTTCTTCCCCTGTTTCATTGCTCAAGGTCAGGAGTAGGGGAAGATGGCATCACTTACTTTCACCTCCATAAGTCCAAAAATGGCGGTTCCCGCCAAAAAAGCCCCCTCATCTTTCCAACTCTTTCACTTCCGCTCAACATCATTTCCCGTTGGGAGACGAACTCGGAAACCCCACTAGGCCTCACAACTAAAAGGCATCCTCTGCCTCCAGGCCCAACGAAGCTCCCATTGATCGGAAACTTACACAACTTAGCGCTCGCCGCCGTCACCACCGACGGCAGTCCCCTCCCACACCGCGCCCTTCAAACCCTCGCATCCGAGTACGGCCCAATCATGCACCTCCAGCTCGGCCAAGTCTCCGCCGTCGTCGTTTCCTCGCCGGAGATCACCCAGGAGATTCTGAAGACCCACGACCTCGTCTTCGCGCAGAGGCCCCGACTTCTGGCGGCGGAGATCGGCACGTGGGGCGGCCAGGACATCGCCTTCTCCCCCCTCGGCGATTACTGGAAGCAGATGAAGCGGATCGCAACGACGGAGCTTCTAGGTCCGAGAAAGATCTGATCTTTAGCCGCAATTCGGGAGGCAGAGGTTTTGAAATTGGTGGACTCTGTTCGGGGCTCCTCCGGGCGCCCGGTCAATCTCAGCGCGAAAATCTACGATTTGACGAATGCGATCGTTTGCAGGTCGGCGTTTGGATCTGAGGGTGGGAATTGAGAGGTGATTGAGGTTATGAAGGCGACGGCGGCGGTGGCCGGCGGTTTCAATTTGGTGGATTTTTACCCGTGGCTGGAGTCCGTGCCGGGCGCCGACGGGTTGAAGTCCAAAATTCAGAAGCTCAGGGATTACCTAGACGTGATTTTGGACAAGACGATAATGGAGCATCGGCAGAGGATTGACAGCGGCGGTGGAGAACGACGGCGGGACGATTGTGAATGTGATGATGGTGAGGAAGATCTCGTGGATGTTTTGCTTAGGCTTCAAGGTAGCCGTGACCTTCAATGTCCTATGACGAGCACAAGCATCAAGGCCCTCCTTACGGCAACTAAATCAAATCGAAGTTCATTAGTTACCAACTACTAATCCACATTTAATTCTGATCGACGAATCTATGACGAAATAGTCACTTTGTTTTGCTACTTGATAGTTAAGTCAAATTGATAAAGTCAAATGAACTCGTCTAATTGACCTAGTATTTTATCAACTTGATATCTCAAACTATAAATATAAACGAAAATAACCTAACAATTTCAATTAATTATATAATTAAATATGTTTAAATTGAATAGCAAAAAAATAATTCATTTTGATCTAGTTGGCTTCTATATGTAAACAAGTTTCAAATTGTTCGAATTCGGTCTTGAAAAAAACAAGACAACATGTATTTTTTTAATCGAACCATTTGTTCCTTTTGTTGGGAGAAAGGAAAATAGAATAATCATTAGATCTCCAATAAAGAAATGTTTAATTGGATTTCTCTCGTAATCTAAGGAGTAAGGTGTTAATTAGTTAACTTGTTATTAATAGTCAAGTACTCATGTATTTTATGATTTTTTTTACAGGATTTATTTACGGTCGGAACCGACACTTCATCGGTGGTAATAGAATGGGCAATGGCGGAAATGGTGAAAAATCGACGAATCCTTGACAAAGTCAAAACAGAAATACGAGAAGCTCTTCAACATCAAGAGGCGACCGCAACCAAAACCGACATCATCGAAGGTCTATCTTATCTAAAGCAAGTTATAAAGGAAACCCTGCGACTACACACTCCGATCCCTTTGCTACTTCCAAGAGAAAGCAACGAGATATGTGTGATCAACGGGTACGAGATCCCAGCCAAAACGAGAATCTTCGTCAGTGCTTGGGCAATAGCCAGAGATCATGCCATTTGGGACGACCCAGAAAGCTTCATTCCCGAGAGGTTTAACGATAGTGAAGTTGATTTCAAATGAATAGATTTCGAGTTCATTCCGTTTGGAGCCGGAAGAAGAATGTCCCGGGATTGGTTTTGCTCTCGCCAACATTGAGCTCCCTCTCGTTGAACTATTGTATCATTTCGATTGGAAACTACCTGAAGGAGAAACAACCAATAATCTGAACATGGACGAGTTTTTTAGGCTCTCCGTGAGTAAAAAAAATAAGTTGTATCTAATTCCTAAACCATATTTACCCCAACAAAATAAAACTCGAAACTTATAGTACACCTACGCGTGAAGATTTAGATTGTATCATATTCTTTCTAATCCCATGCCACGGTTTAATCCTATGCTCTAGCTTTTAAGGAACTATCATATTACGTGAAACAGTCTCATGTTTGCTATATGAGACAGTTTTTTTGCGTGCAATCCACTTTGTACATAGAATCCACTTAGACTTAGTTACCCTAAATCATAAAGTAGTAAAACTGAACTATACTTGCTTTCTACTTAATTGTTGGCTTGGGCCTTTTCTATTTGCATTAACTTTTAAGAGGCACAGTTAATTTTGAGGAGACCACAGCTATAACCATGGGCTTTCGGTATGCCAAAAAAAAAAAAAAAAGACTTGCCAACTAGCTAGTTACAATGGGAAAAGAGGAATATTCTCTTTGAAGTGTTTGGTTTGGTGCAATCCATAGGATGTATCGAATTTGAGTGTAATTATAATTGCATCAAATTAAATGATGGGATCTCAAATACTAGAGGGTAGAGAGTATTTGAAAATTACCCGCTCTATAAAATGTGATATTGGTTTTGCAAATGTACATATTTCACATAATAACACGTAATTGAGATAGCATGCAACGAGATAAGAAATGTCAATTTATAAATATAACGTATCAACTTTATTTTTTTATTAATTAAGCAACGGCAAGATCTTTTGTTTTAGATAAGTGTGAAGTAAATTGATTTTTGTAGTTAGGTGCTATTAAAAGGAATTCGAATTTGAAACCTTCAGATTTAAGACTAGTGGTATTACCATTAAGGCAAATTCTTGTTGGCAAGCAACACCAAGATACTTACTTGATCATTCATATATAGTCCGATTGCAACGTGTTATTCTTATCAATCTTGTAATTTGACTTATCTGATCGCGAAAAAAATACACAGGTAATTTTTTATATAATTAACGAAACATATTTGATGTATTGTACATATAAAATTTGGTGAGAGTTCCATTAGTGATATATACTGATATAGTGGAGATAATTTGTCTTTGTTTCGGATGAATGGAATATTCTCCATACGATTTGATTACCTTGTCAAAGAAAGACAACTAATGAAATGACATATTGTGAGCTTTACCATAACTTTTGCCAACCATTTACTTTACCGGTTAAATGTTATAATGATCACTAAACTAAGAGACTTGCAACAAAAGTGGTCATCCAACTAAAAGTCTTAACAAAATGCTCACAAAACAAAATTAGTTGTAACAAATAGTCACCCAAAATCACATCTCAAAATGTTAATAGTTTGTCTCATTAGTCAACATATCAAACAGACTCCATACTTCACCAAAGTCACCCCTTCATCACATTTTGAAAAACTTATCTACGATCAACTTTTAGTGTGATATAATATTTATTGTTGAATCTCTCCATAAAACTCAAGTTATTGGGATCAACTGGTTCTTGACATGGTATCAGAGTCTTTTGTGATCGAGAGATCTCATATTCAAATTCCGGTGACACCCATTGGTAACACACATAGTGCTTGATGCACGTGCCAACTTCACACCTATATAAGTGATTATCGTTCGTTTGACGGGCAAGTTACCGTGTGGTACAAGATTCACATTTAAAATCTATAAAAAAAACTCAAATTATGGGAATCAACTAGTTCTTGACACAAGCTACATATATTCAACTTGGATTAATTTGGGATTTGTAAATATAATGAACCAATACAAACTCATTTGTCAAATTAATTTTTGATGTATTCGATCATACCAAATAATTTTTTTTTATTTTGTCAAAAGATATCATGTATTGATCGGAAAAATAGACAGTTACACCCTGGAACCCAGCCAGGTCTGGAAATCAAAAAAGCGACTCATAGTCGGATACAAAGAGAGGGCTTTCCTAGCTACCAAATGAGCTACCCTATTGTTCTCACGACCTACAAAACGCACACTAAACCCAGGTTGAGTACGAAAATAATGACCAATCTCTTCCAGTACAGCACCCAACCGGCTATCTCTTGTGTCGGCATGATTAATTTTATCAATAATCACCTTCGCATCGCCCTCAAATCGGACCTCCGACAAACGTTGCCCCACACAGCAAATAATTGCTTCCCTGAGCACGAGCAATTCCGCCACTACAGGATCATCCATTTGAGGAAACTGGACCCCTCTAGCCAGAAGGATTGTCCGTGCTGGGTCAAAAAGGGGAATGGATCAGGTCAGTAACCTTATGGTGAGTAACCATGAGTAACCCGTCCACATCAGCATGACATCAGCATCCTCTCTCTCATAGAAAGCCTTTAATTTTTCCCTCTTTAATCTTTGACGGACGATTTCTCGCTCATTTTAAGTCGAAATTTAATTTTTTTTGCACAGTTAGATCAGATTAATTGTGCTCTTCAAAATGATATCCACTTTAATATATTTTTCGAACAAAAAAAAATTGAGCCTTTTTTTACCAGCCTATACCATATGGTATTGACTGGTATTGAAATAAAAGCATACCTATGTTTTGAAAAACGTACCATGGTGGTATGAACAAACCAATACTGTAGGATGGTTGAATACATGATAGTAGAAGTATATTAATTGTAATTTACTACTTTTAACATTGTATACCACACAATACCACCCCGTACCAGGGTGGTATTGTATGGTATTGTGTGGTATTTTTTGGTCCTGTAATTTGTTCACCCAGAAATTTATAGATCCAATAGATCATGATGAACTCGTCCCTTCTGTGCAAACGTTTTCAAAAACGAATTAAAAACGAACAAGATACCATACAATACCACCCCGTACCAGGGTGGTATTGTGTGGTATTTTTTGGTCCTGTATTTTGTTCACCCAGAAATTTGTAGATCCAGTAGATCATGATGAACTCGTCCCTGTTGTGCAAACGTTTTCAAAAACGAATTAAAAACGAAGAAAATACCATATGGTATGCAGTTTGTACCGAGAGGCCAGAATTTTTTTTCCTCAAAAAATATTGAAAATTGATCTCATTTTGTTGAGCACGGTGAACTCGTTCCATCTGTGCAAAAAAAATTAAAATCCGAGTTAAAACGAAAAAGATATGAGTCAATTAAGAAAGCTAGTGAAAATAAAAATAGTCTTTAATTCTCCATCCTTAGATCTGGATTTTCTAAATGAAGGGTCCAGATTTGGTTATTGATGGGTGCATAACCATGGGTTATGCACCCTATCTTGAGCCGTCAAAATGAACCATTCCACCAGCCGAATGAGACCCATTCTTAGTAGCCCCGTCCCACATGCAAACCAGATGGGAACCATCCACTTGAGCGGAAGATTGCATTAGCGGCACTTGAAACCTAGGCACCTTATCCGCTGGCAGACCTACCCATTCCTCATACTATTGGTGGAACTGTCGCATAAGCGCTGGAATCCCAAATTGTTTGCCTTCAAAGACTACCCAATTCCGAGATCGCCAGATCCTCCAATGAACGGCAACAACAGCCATAACCATAGACGATTGATGGATCAACCCCAACAGACGCTTGAAAAACAAAGGAAAAGTTTGCCGAGGCAAACCTTCACCCAAGTAATACCAAATAATTTGGTAGTCACTATTTTGTTATAAATTTCTTAGTATAGTCATCATTTCGTTAATATTTGCAATCTAATGATCTTCTGTTGAATGAAACCCATAAGCCGATGCAACCCATTGCACATCAATTCGAGCTCTCCATCTCCAAATCTTCATTCCTACCAAACTCCCATCATCAATGCCTTCAATTGCTGTTACATTCACATTCCCTCTGCCAATTCCAATTCCTCCACTCCAAACCAAAACGATCAAAAGAAGCTCCATAACAATTATCTCATGCAAAAAGCCACACCACGGCCACCATCTCCCGCCGGGACCGGCAAAGCTTCCCCTGATCGGAAACTTGCACAACCTGTTCATAGGCCGGTCGCCTCTGCCACACCACGCCCTCAGGGAACTCGCCGACGAGTACGGCCCTCTGTTCCACCTCCGGCTCGGTGAAGTTCCCTCCGTCGTCGTTTCCTCGCCGGAGATCGCCAGAGAAGTTATGAAGACCCACGACCATGTTTTCGCCGATCGGCCACGGATTCTGGCGGTGGATATCGGCACTTGGGGCAGCCAGGACATCGCCTTCTGCCCGCTCGGCGATTACTGGCGGCAGATGAAGCGAATCTCGTTAACCGAGCTTCTGGGTAGTTAAATTACTAACAAAAAACAGACATCCCTTTTCACAAAGCTTCAATTTATCTCCCTGATTTCATTTTACTCTGTTCCTAAATCCTAATTACAGGCGCGAGAAAGGTACAAGCTTTCTCATCAATCCGCGAAACAGAGGTTTCTAATCTAGTAGATTCAATCCGCCGCTCGTCCCACAACGGTGAGAACCCAATAAACATCAGTGAAAAGATTTACAGTCTGTTCAATGTCATAATCTGCAAGACCGCGTTTGGCACGCATTGGGAAGAAGACGACATAATACAGTCGATGAGGGAGGCTGCGCAGGTGGCCGGAGGATTCCACGTGCTCGATTTCTACCCTTCTCTGGAGTTCTTGCACGGGCTTAGCGGGCTGAAATCGAAGATCCTGAGAATGAGAGACCATAAAGATGTGATCTTGGACAGAGTTATAGCAGAGCATAAACAGAGGTTTGTGCAGAGACGGCGAGGCTGCGACGGCGGCGGTGGGATTGATGATGTGGAATCCGAGGACGGTGAGGATTTCGTGGATGTGTTGATTAGGCTTGAGGAGGGTGGAGGGTTGCAGTGTCCCATTACGAATACAAGCATCAAAGCCGTCCTTGTGGTAAGCAAAGCAAAATTTTAATGGAAGGACAAGAAAAGGGTTAGATCACGTAACTTCATATGTTGTTTGACTTGATTTTGCAGGACTTGTTCGTCGCCGGAACCGACACTTCATCCGTAGCGGTGGAATGGGCGATGTTAGAAATGATGAACCCACGAGTTCTAAGCAAGGCACAATCCCAAATACGACAAGCTCTAAAGGGGAAAAATGCAATAACGGATAAAGACCTACAAGGTTTGACCTACTTAAAATCAGTGATCAAGGAAACTTTCCGACTTCACCCATCAATCCCTCTCCTGATCCCAAGGGAAAGCAACCAAGATTGTGTCGTTTCGGAGTACATAATCCCCGCCAAGACAAGGGTCATAGTCAATGCTTGGGCCATAGGGAGGGACCTCGAAACCTGGGAGGATCCAGAGAGCTTCGTTCCAGAGAGGTTTGATGGAAGCGAGATCGATTTCAAAGGGATGCATTTTGAACTTATCCCATTCGGTGCTGGAAGGAGGATATGTCCTGGTATATCGTATGCAATCGCTAACATCGAGTTGCTTTTGACGCATTTATTGTATTGGTTCGATTGGAAGCTTCCAAATGGACTGAGGGCTGAGGATTTGGATATGAGTGAGGTTTTTGGACTTGCTGTGGCTAGGAAGGATCAGTTGTATTTGGTTGCCAAGTCTTATGAGGCAAAGGATTTGGATAGTGGAAGTGTTGAAATGGAGGTGGTCAAGGTTGAGTGTTAATCGATTAATTAGTCACCAAAGTCTACTGAGTAGATTAGTTCCTTAAAGATGGAAACTTAAGTTGGGTGAAAATAACAATTCTTCATGATTTAGAGCATAATGTTGGGTAATGCTGCAGCCTCAAATATTGATTCATTGTGTTTTTTTTAGCATTATGGTTGTAACTTGTAAGAAAATGATATCAAATTTGTGAGCATAGAATACGAGTTTTGGGGTATTATTAGACTATTAATCGTTGATGGTACTAACTAATATTATTGGTGATTGTACAAAAGGCTAAACATGTAGTCACAAAATAAGATATATATGTTCATGATTGACAATCAAATTCATAATTTCATGATTCAAATACGAGATGGGTAGAACCTTTGATTTCATGATTAAAATTCAAGATGTTCAACCACCAATCTAGTAAGAACTAACCCATTGGTTAAGTTTTTTCTTTTGAAATTGATCACTCAAGTAAGAGAAAAATGCACTCACATACAAATATTGAAAATAATTAAAACGCTATCACAAAACAAAGGCGAACGAGGACACAAAAATAGTGTATAAAGGGGCTACCAAATTGGTTCAAGAATCATTTGGGCTTCTCGCAAAAGCCCAATTTTCAAAGTGCGTTTGAGCCCGCCATTTCTCTCTCTACCTTTCACTGTCAGCCACCATCTCTCTACACTCATTCGACCAACCAACCAAAATCCAGCTTTCGCTCCGCGCCTCCATAACCCCCATTTTCGCCCAAATTTTCGCCCAAATTCAAACCTTACATAAACAAACCAAGAAAAACCCATTCCTTTTTTCATTCCATTAAGTCACTTTCCCTAATCTCAAAGCTCTGATCTTTTTCCATCCCCTGTCCGTTAATGGCGTCTCGCTACAACTCCTACGATTCCACCCGCTCTTCCGCCTCTTCATTCACTTCCTCAGTTGAATTCAACCCTTCTTCCGTCACTCCTTCCTCCTCATCCAGAGCTCTGGTCAAATCCAAGACGTCCGACCTCTCCCAGTTGAAATCCAAGCCCAATGGCACCCACCACAATCTTACAGCAATGGTCAAGAAGTTCATGGAGAAGAAGACCACTTTAGGGTCGTCGTCGTCGAAGAAGAAGAATGCAATTGGTGGGTTGGTGATTCAGGCGGATTTGATAGCGGAGGACTTGAAGAGGAACACGCCGGCGGCAAAGAGAGGGGCCGGGCTAGTGGGTTTGCAGAGGAAGCTGTTTGGGAAGAGAAGGGTGGTATCAAGAAGGAAGTGAAGGCTTTGACTGAGGTGAAAGGGAGTGGCAATGTTGGTAATACGATGACTTTGGCGATGGTTTTGAGGAGCGAGAGGGAGCTCTTGGGTGCTAATAAGGAGATGGAGGAAGAGATTGGTCAGCTCAAGTCGATGCTTGAGACCAGAAACAGAGAGGTAAGTGAGGTTAAAGTTCAAGCCTTCCGAAGTTCTAAACTTGGCAATGATTCTGATTTTCTTTTCCGATTCCGATCTTTCAATGGAGTTTTGTTGCAGGTGGAGAAGTTGAAGGACTTGTGCTTGAAGCAGAGGGAAGAGATCAAGTCATTGAAGAACGCGGTACTATTTCCCGATCTGTGAACTCTGAGCTTCAAGATATCCTTCAACATCAAGGATCAGAGTTGAAGCAAGCCAAAACCGTCATCCCAAATCTCCAGAGGCAGGTCACTTCAGTTACAGTGCCTTGCCGAGGGTCTAGCTGAGGTAACACTATCCATGTCGTTCGTCACTGATGTTGAAGCTTGGTCGCGATGAATAGCAATGGCTAATAGTTTTGCCCAATTCAACCAGGTGAAGGCCGAGAAATATGGGAGAGCTCGTTGGAGCAACTCACCGAAGACAGACGCCCCCACTCGATTGTGAAGGATCTGCAAATTCTCTGGTGAGGAAGAACATTGGCAACTCGAAAGAACTTTAGTGAAAACCAAAGTTGAACGATCTAATGAAAGTTCCTTTTGTAACCTTAAACCACATTCCATTTTTCCTTTTTCTTTTTGCAGGACTTGAGTTCTTGCGAGGCTACGACACCAGGCAGCCCCGATGATGATATGTTCATTAAGGATCTAAATCCTTGTTTGACACCTTATGTTGCCAAGGCAAATTCCAAGGTAGGTAGCATATGATCTTTGAAATGTCTAGAATCTCTTTATCGCAGTGCTTAATGAGATTCATCAATGTACTTACATTCATGCAGGAATTCGATGAGATGGGGTATGATTGCTCTTCTTCGTACGAAGAACACTTGCCGGAGACCACAATGCAGGTCTCAGATGAGCCTACTTTCAGTTCCAACTAGAATCAATACCCGCTGCTACGCCGCGGGAACTTAAGTTAAAGGAGTACGATCGTATGGTGGGGTAGTTTAGGTGACGGCGAAATGGGATTGTTTTATCATTGGGAATTGTATGGGTTTCAAAATACCGTAAGTGTGTTGTATCTTGAGTTCCATAGTTAATTAGCGTTATGATCCTACATGTTGCCAATGAGCTCCACAATATGAAAGTGAAAGCAAAAATAAAAAATACTTAGCGTTATGATCCTACATGTTGCCAATGACCTCCACAATCTGAAAGCAAAAAGCAAAAATACCTTCTCAAAATTGATTTATCAATCGTTTTCCATGTCTTATGAAAGATAATAACTGTTGTATCAGTAATATCTAAAGTGTACATAAAACATCAAAGACGGCAATTGAGATTTTGAGTAAAATTTGTTATGGTTTACATCCGAACATTTAAAATCTACACATCATAAAAGGACAGGCAGGGTTTAAAGTGCATCCATGGTGGCGAAGGTAAGCATTAGTGCATGTTTCTTGTAGCATTAAAGCATATAGCCTTGGCATAAGAGAAACAATCCAATTTTCCTAGCTTCTTTCCCAAGCTGCAGATTGAACTAAATATAATGGACCAAAATCCATGGCCATTTCGTGGAAGAAGGAAAACTCAGAACTGGTTTCCAACTACAAAATCTCTGGTAGCCGTATACTCTGATTGTAAAGTTGTTTGCAATGAATTCTCCCATTGCATCCAGGGGGGGGGGGTTTCGAACGACTCCCCAATATGCTTTGCTTGTGCAACTCACCCACTCCATAGCTCAACTCACCCTCTGCGAAAAGATAACGTTGTTCTTCAAGTTTTGAGATTCGGAAACATGCTAACATACCTACATTCCATCCTTTTCTAACCTATAGATTAGATGGAACAGTTAGCACTACGGTCAAAACCTTCAAGTAGTAACAATGGTTTGCAGATAACATGCATGTATTCATGGTGAGCCATAGCTGGATGGAATTGGAAGAGAGCATAAAGAAGGGACCCAAAAAAGAAGCATTAGTTATGATTGAACAGAAAACTGATAGTAATCCTAACCAATGATTAAAATCATACTCATACCTCTTGTAGTTTGTAGTGGAAAAGTGATGCAGAAAGAGAGATCAATAAGTGTTTTATCCTTCTTCTTCAAACGTAGCATTATGACCTCTTGCGGGCTGCTCGGGAGAAACCAATTTGAGGCACTCGATGTCATTTTCAACTGCTCTTCAAGTGTGAAAGAACTGAATTAGATTGTGAAGTTAAAGTGCATAAAACTGTATCAGCTGCTCTTGCAAGTCTCCATGGATGTTGACGGGGATCAACAGACAGCTTCCATCATTGTTAGCCAAATAGAGTACAAACCTGCAGCATTCCAGATCGTGGAAGGACATATTATCAGTCACATTCAATTGCACATTTAAGAAATAGCTCTGGTTAAAGTGAGAGCAATAACAGACATAAACATGTATATTCATTGGCTTGACAACACGCATACTCTAATAAAACCGAAGCTCATGCCTATTTGAAGAGGTCTTTAGCTCACCTCATCATTAAGGGATAAAAAATCTATTGAAAAATGGGGACTAACACACACATACGGTTCTTTGATTCATATGAAAGAAAAGTGACTCTAAATAACGATAACAGTTCATTGCCAATTGTAGTACTATGATCTAGTTTGTTATCCAAATTTTAAAATGATAGCAGGAGGTCAACATACCATTGTGCAGAAGTAATATTCTACTATCGAGATGTAGAATGACGACATTCAGACGAAATGATAGAGCTGCCGAAACTTGAAAACATCAGCAGTGTCAATTCCACCTAAGAACAGGTTCTGATTGGCAAGTGAAGTTAGTTTCTGGAGGAGGAGGAGATCTAACTTTTGGTGGAAACGAAGCATATAGATGGGAAACTTACCTGGAAAATGGCCTTCATGTTCTCTCTTCTAAAATGAGATTTACCAAGTAGTTTAGGTTGTTCCTTCTCAATTGCCAGCAAGTGGAATCTGCATAGCTTGAGGCTGGGACTGGAACGCATTCCCAGAGTGTGCTTGATTTCCCATTTGTTTCTAACCACTGACATTTTCCAAATGAAAAGAGTTTGAGTTCCCGCTGAAAGCTTTGCGCTAAGTCCCACACTACAATAATCATCAAACTATTGTCAGTTACAAATGGACTCAAGGGAATAGAGATTAAAAAGAACACATGCATGTTCTGTGATGTTGGATGCTCAGCAGATGGTGGGTAATATTAAGAAAGGATACAGGAGCAACTTAGCAACTCAAAAGTGGAACCCCATCAAATAATTCAAGGAACTCCGGCTGTAACAGTCGACGATGGAAAGAATTGAAAGGTTTAACAACAAAATCAAAGTTTACATTATAATGCATCTTGATGGCTTGATTCTGGCTAATATTTCTCACCGAAGCAAGTCAAGCTTTGCCATAACATATGGAAGAATTTAATAACCCAACATGGAACCATTGCATTCAGATGAACAACGAAAAGGTGAAAGCTTTTAAAAAATGGAATACCCAATCTTGTTGATTACGTGCGCCTGCATCTTCTTTCACACCCCATTTAGCCTTCTTGCAATTTCTTGCTGAGCTGGATAAGAGGCTCGACATAAACAGAGGAATCAATCAAACACAGATTCTAAATGGACCAAAATCCTGAAATTCAGAATGCAAAGAGAGAGAGAGGGTGAGTATGTGAGGAAAACCGGTGGACTGAAGCCTCTCATTTGGTTGAGTTAATCGCGTTGAAAAATAGATGGGGATGAATCGAAACCACATCCAGGTAAGAGAGAGATCGATTTTTCCCTTCTCGTCTTCCTTATCATCTCCTTATTCTTCTTCTTCTTCTTCTTCTTATGACGACGGGGATTTGCAGCATCTATGAATCCAGTATGAGCTGCAGCTGTAACTGAAATGGGTGAGTCAGAGAAGAGAAGCGCTCTCTCAAACCAGAAGAGTGAGATAAGGACTACAGAGAACATGGGCGGTGGCATGCGAGAGCAGTTCTGAGGAGCTTACAACCTCAAGAAGCAAATCAGAGTGGTGAGATGACGGAAAACGACGTGGGCTTCCAGATTTTTGGGCTGAAAGGTGAAGCCATGGGTGGGGTACGACAGTCATGGATGGGTAAGTTGTTTACTATTTAGGGAGTGAAAGCTTAAAGCAAACAAAAGTGGAAGCTGTCTAGGGGAAGCTCCTTACGGTGGATGGGATTGGCTAAGATAGTTCATAGCCTCATGGCTGTGAGGAGGCTGAAGACCCGTTTCTTCACTAAACGACGGAGATTGAAACAGTGACACAGAAATTGGGCCAATAAAGCATACCCAGCTTTTATATTTTAAATAGTTGACACGCCAAAACACAACACCAAACTGCGACCAAGTGTAATCGCAGTCCGGGAATGCAGTAACAAGCAAGTTCAATTATCAACCCGGGGTCTAGATCTACTGCTTACTCCGTGATTCTCTATTATCTAGCAAACTAATTCGAGTGATTGTTGTTTAACGCAAAAGCAGTAAGAAAGCAGTAAATTGTTCGGTTTTCAAAGTCAGGAAAGAGTCACTCGGGATTGAGTCCCCCTAGCCCCTTAGTTAGGTCCAATTGTAATTCCCCTGGGTTGATTCACTGTTGATTAGACTGCGGAAGATCCGACAGTAGCTTGGAATCTCTTAAGCTGACCAAGCCCTCTCAGTCTAACTACCCGGCAGACGACTAGTCTTCACCGGGTTAGAAAGCTGAGGCTATGAACACAGAACTCCACCACTGGAATTGAATTCCAGTACAAAGCAGTAAATTGGCTAACTCTCGTATAGCCAATCTCCTACTATCGAATGAAGAGGCTCTAACAACCTAATCATATTCTATCTATCTCAGGTTGCAGCAGAAATTGAGAAAAGCTGATCAGACTCCAATCAATTCAATAAACATGCATCATTCGATTAAAATCAAACAGTAATATCATCCCAAGTCATTACAATCAAATCCCTAACACCAGGAACTAGGGTTCTTCATACCCAAGTGAGAGAAGGGTTCTACTCCATAGAGAGAGAAGAGAAAACAGTAATCGGAGTAGTCATACTCATAATGATGAGGAAAATCTGCTCCGGGGTGATGATTTCCACTCCTATGACGATCTCCAAGCTCGATTCGATGAAACCCAGCTCCAAGATAGCTTCTAGGGTGTGTTCTTCGTACTTTCTCTCTCTAGGGCTCTGTTTTTGCTCTGAAAATCCGATTCTCCTTCTTTAGGCTCGAAATTGGCTCAAAAACCAGAATTTCCCGACTCGCACGGCCAGGCCACACGGCCGTGTAGCTCACCACTTTGCCCGTGCGAGTCAAAACGCGGCGTCCCATTGAGTTCGGTCTTCAGGCTTCCTACACGGCCAGGGTCGCACGGCCGTGTAGGATTTCCATCCAGCCCGTGTTTGGCCTCGGCAAAAATCACACGGCCAGGGTTGCACTTTGCACGGCCGTGTGAAAATTCCAGTCTGCCCGTGTTTGGCCTCGGCAAAAATCACACGGCCAGGGTTGCACCTTGCACGGCCGTGTGATGCCCCGGTCTGCCCGTGCGGCTTCCTTGACACCTCGCCACGCGTCCGATCTTCGTCCAATCGACCCCAGACTCGCTCCCAAGCCTCCATTCACGTACTAGGACCTGAAATATCACAAACAAGCGCAACCTAGCGTGAAATCGGCCTAAAACATGAGAATCAACACCTCAAACGGTGTAAGAACGGGGGTAAAAACATGTGTAAATAACGGTCTATCAAACTCCCCCACACTTAACCGTTTGCTTGTCCCCAAGCAAACCAAGTCAGACACCAGGTAAGCTTACATATTTCAATCAACCAACATTGGGGACAAGTCATAAAGGCACAGAACACGTGAATCGTACTGGTTTTCAAACATCAATACATGAACAACCTCAATAGCAACCTGGACAACCACCACAAAGGACATTCGAGTGCAGCAAAATCGAGTAAAGGAAGAGTCTCCCTTCTGTTCACCAGCCAACCTAGACTTGACTCAACCACTTACTCAAAATAGTCAACTCATGCATCCAACTCAAGACATCAGAACAGAGACCAAGCAATCTAGGTCCTCACCGGGGTACAAGAGTATAAAAAATATGAAAATGAATCACTCACTCTCGACCAGTGGGGTCAGGACAATTTGATGCGAAAAATGCGCATGCTATTTCTCTCAATCCCTATCATCTCTTCACCATGATGGCAGCCTCTAAATGCTAGAGTTCACATAAGGGGTGTCACCACTAACTAATCAGGAGGTCTTAGACACAGGTTCAAATGACTGGCTAGGGTCTTGGACATGGGGAAAAGGCCCTTTAAGTGGTGGAAGTATTCATACCACAAGGTTCCACATTTTCAAACCCACACAATCACAGTCAAACAAACCGGTACTTTCTTTCTGCTATTCTGCATTACTCAACATCTCAAGAGCACAAAATCGAAGGAGGTATAAACATCAGCATTTCCAAGCCAGACTGCTAAGAAACACTACTTACTGGGCATTAATCACGATTTTTTGGTAGTGGCTCCCTTTTGCTTTCGATTTTTCTTTGTTTTTTTTCTTTCATTTTCTTTTCATTTCTTAAGTGAGCCACCACTTCTGCACATATTTCAAAAGAAAGGATAACACACGGCTCAAAGGGGCTGACTAGGGGATATGACATATCAGGACAGTCAGTTTGGGCGTGGGCTAATCCTATGCCCCCATCATCTTAGCTAGTGACAACGTGAATGCTACACATCATGGAAGAGGGATCTATTGCACAAGAAAGAAACGAGCAGGCTCAAATCTCACATGGCTACCTATATGCTCTATCTCGCATTCTGATACCCTGAACTAGATGCATAAACGGCTTTCAAGAACAAGTGATCAAATAAAGTCACAGCTGGCAAGCAAACAGTTGAAAAACTGAACCCCTACATCGTTCTACTGCACATCTCAGTCCTCATCATAGGTTGTCCTAGTCGCAAACAAGTTGTCATGCATCAATCCGAAAACCATTCGATTCATCAATCAAAACACAGTGCCAATATGATCAAACAACAATACTTGGAGCCCTCAAATCGTAAGATTCGGACAGCGGACTAGGCTCCAAGCACCCAAATATATATTCCAATCGATACAAAGCACCCCCCCACACTTAAGCACGACATTGCCCTCAATGGAGTAGAGGGAAAGATAAGGGGAACGATGTTACCGGATTGAAACACTGCTGGGGGACTGGAAGTGGACCAGTCAGCGAGAAACAAACGGGAGAGTGGACAGTGATGCACGAATCGAACACAAGAACACACTAGCACACTGTGCGTTAGGGATAAGTGTTAGCCCAGACGGCTACATCAGAAACAAACCACAAAAGAAAACCAAAAAACAAAAACAAATGACACTAAGTTCAAGCTCCTCACACATGGAGCAAACACACAAAAGTCTAAAACGAAAAATAAAACACACTGAGATGGGCAACGAGTACAGCCTACTCGTCGCCAAGATCATCCAAGTCGATGTCGATGTCGGCCATGAAGGCGTCATCACTAGCAGCTCCACCAGTACCATCATCACCGTCAGCTGGGGCATGGGGAAGTGGAGAGTCATCCCACGGAGTCCTCCAACCGGGCTGCTCGCCCTGGAGCAGCTGGAGCAAGTGCTGCTGAACCTCCTGCATGCGCCGTAAGCGGCGCTTCTCCCGCTCGATGTGGGCGAGAGTCACTCCCTGCTGGGTCTGGAGTATGTCCAGGCGCTCATCATAGGCAGCCATCCTGTTCCGGTACTCGGCCTGGCCTGCCGCGTACTGCTGATGGAACTGCATCTGCTGGTCGAGGATCTGCTGGTTCTGGATCCGCAGCTGCTCGAACTGGGAAGAGAAGTAATCCTGGCCCATGAAAGCAGAGCTGCCACCGCCATACTCGAAGGTGGTGGGGCGGGGGGCAGCATCAGCAGAAGCAGCAGCATCCACCTCCTCGGGGTCCACATCATCAGCAGCCTCCTCCTCCTGGCCCTCTGGCTGGTCCTCTGGCTCGGGCTCCGCGGGGATCGGAGGTTCCGGAAACCCATCGACCCATAGAACACCATTCCTCTCTCGCAGCAGCTGCATCTTACCGATCGTCTTCCGGCCAAAGATGAGGGTGTCCCCCTCCTGGTTGCACCCCTGCAGTGAAAGCCCAAAGTAGGTGGCCAGGCGGGTGATGAGGGGGCCGCAGTGGAGGCTCTTCAATTCTGTAGCAGTCTTCTCGAAGGTCCTCGCCACCACCGAACCCAGGTGGAGAGGATGGTTGTGCTGGCGGATCGAATGGATGAAGTACAGGGCCCTCTTCGTGATGGCGCTGGCACTGTCTGCCGCGGGGGTGTAAGACTTTGCCAGCAGGTGGTGGAGAAGGCGGTTGTCGAGCAGCAGGGTAGATGCCTTCGTCCTCCCGGCCCGGGAAGGACGCGTCTGGCCTGGCCTAGCCAGGCGGGTGTACAGCCTCCCGAAATCCACCTCCGGCGGATCATTGACCTCGTTGATGTAGTTCCTACGGTCGTCTACGTCGAGAGCCTCGACCAGCTCGTGGTAGCTCAGGGACCGGGGGACACCGCCTAGCCTGAATTGGACGGTTGTCCCGTCCTTCCAATCGGTCGTAGAATTGTGCCTGAAGGTCGTGTAGAGCTCCAGCACGGGCTCGTAGTAGACCTTCTCGCAGATGACGAGCAGACGGCGCCATGTGGGGTTGGCGACGATGGCGGAGAGTTGCTCGTAGCAGTTCAATCGCCGAAACTCCCGTTTGGACCAGCAATGGTGTTGCCCAAACGGGGTGGCCAGGACCTCCTTGAAGCGATCCTCGGTGGGGCCCCTCCTTAGATCCCGGATGAACAGGTGCCTGAGGTCAGGTGTCGACATTGTCCTGCAAAAGAATAACCCAAAGTGGAACCAAAAGAGCAAAAGAAAATGTCAATCACACCCCCACACTTAAGAACATAAAAGCAGCCGAACCATAGTTTCATCCATAGTTCGGGGGTGACAAACTCGATTAAGCAGGCAATATCTGAGTGGGGGTGCACATTCACAAGAAAATAGGCAGCTTAAGGTTCACATCCATAGCAAATACACCCTCAAACTACATCATTAAGGGCCCCAACCGGTGGCCACAACATGGCATGAAAGGCAGGCATTTCATCGAACACCTTGTGTGCACTATTAAGCTAAGCATGAAATTGGCACAATTCTTGCACACAAGGGCTCAAACAAGCAAGGGGGACTTTGCCCAACACAATTCAAACACATTCCATGCATTCCCCTCAATCAATTGCGCAAAAATCACAAGATTCAATAAGGTTCTCTAACATGCACCCTACACACTCAATTCTCCACAATTAACATAGTTAAGGGCAAAATCAAACCTGGAGACTCAAGTAGAGGTGTAGGGGATGATGAGGGGAAGGCGATGGAAGCGACGAAACGCCGAAAAAGTGGCCGGAAGTGCTCGTCGGAGCCTCGTCGGAGTCTCGCCGGAAGTCGCCTCCGGCGACAAAAACGTCGTCCAAATTCGCTCAAAATGGAGGGATAGGCCGCTTTGGGTGTAGAAAGAGTGGGTTTGTTGTTGGTTTGGTGAAAAAATGACCCAAAGTGGCCGAAAAAATCGAAAAGGGGGGTTTTTGTCGCGGTTTTCCGGCGAGGACAGAGGATTCCGGCGAGTTTTTTGAACTTTCTGACCTGCTCGGCCGTGCTGGCCGAATTTATAGGCCGTGCCTCGTCTGCATGGGCAGGCCCGCACGGCCGTGCAGGGGTCACTTTTGCCCGTGCTGGCCGACACGGCCTGGTCGAGGGAATCCGCACGGCCGTGCAGTGTGCACATTTGGCCGTGCGGATTTTGCCGAGAGCTCGCACGGCCTGGGGAAAAATTCCACACAGCCGTGCGAGGTAATTGTTTCCCGTGTCGGCCACACGGCCAGGCCAGGCCAAGTCACACGGCCGTGCAAATTTGCACATTTGGCCGTGTGATTTTTGCCGAGAGCTTGCACGGCCTGGGGAAAATTCCACACGGTCGTGCAAGTTTGTGACATGGCCGTGCGCAGTGCTGGAGCCCCGAATTCAGCCTGTTTTCACTCAAAAACGGCACTTGACTCTGGATCAACATCTCAAGACTCAAAAACAGAAAAAATCAAAGGAAAAAGAGTAAGAAAATGCAAACCTCGGTGGGGTTGCCTCCCCACAAGCGCTTCTTTACCGTCTTTTAGCTGGACGCCAGTAGAGGAACTAAGGGTCCTCGAGCTTGATCAGCAGCTCTGCGCGCTCGACAGCACCTCCCAAGTACAATTTTAGGAGGTGGCCATTCACCTTGAATGGCTCGGTTTGAGCATTGCTGATCTCCACCGCAATATGCGGGAAAACTTGGGTCACCGTGAAGGGACCCGACCACCTCGAACGGAGCTTGCCCGGAAAGAGTTTCAGGCGTGCATTGAAGAGCAGAACACGATCACCTACCTGAAACTCCTTCGGGCCCCTCAACCTAGCGTCGTGGAGACGCTTGGTGCGCTCTTTGTAGAGCAAGGTGTTCTCGTAGGAGTGGTAACGCCACTCCTCCAACTCCAACAGCTGCAACTTACGTTCTGTACCTGCAACACTCAAATCCAGGTTTAGCAGCTTAATGGCCCAGAAGGCCTTGTGCTCTAGCTCTACCGGCAAATGGCACGCCATCCCATAGACAAGCCTATAGGGAGAAGTGTCAATCGGGTTTTTATAGGCAGTCCTATACGCGCAGAGAGCATCATCGAGCTTGGTGGACCAATCCTTGCGGGACTGATCCACCGTCTTTTCAATTATGCGTTTTAACTCCCGGTTCTTCAGCTCGGCCTGCCCATTTGACTGGGGATGGTAGGCCACCGACACCTGATGCTTAACGCCATAGCGAGAGAGGAGTTTAGTGAATTGCCCCTGAAAATGGGTTCCTCTATCACTAATAATGGCGCGAGGTGTCCCGAACCGGGAGAACAGCTGCTTCAGAAATGAGCAGACCCGTCTTGCATCATTGGTGGGCATGGCTTGAGCTTCTGCCCACCTCGAGACGTAGTCCACTGCAACCAATATGTACAGATGGCCAAAAGATGGAGGGAATGGGCCCATGAAATCGATATCCCAAACATCAAAAATTTCACAAATAATAGAGATATGTTGGGGCATCTCATCCCGGGCAGAAATGTTACCTGACCTCTGGCAGCGGTCGCACTGTCGTGCGAAGGTGTCTGCATCCTTGAAGAGCGAGGGCCAATAGAAGCCCGACTGTAGCACCTTCCGCGCCGTGCGGTTTCCTCCATGATGACCGCCAGTAGGTCCCTCGTGACATTGAGACAGGATGTCTCCCATCTCATGCTCCATGACACAGCGCCGGATCACGCCATCTGCTCCGATTCTGAAGAGGTAAGGATCCTCCCAGAAGTAGTGCTTCAGATCGGAGAAGAACTTGCGCTTCGCATGAGTAGCCATCCCCTTGGGTAACTGCTTGCCTACCAGGTAATTGGCAAAGTCAGAATACCAAGGGGCCACGCTGTCCACCAGGGTCATCGCCAGCAATCGCTCACCCGGGAAGGAGTCGTCGATCTCTTCCTCGAAGTTGTCCACCGGAGGGGCTTCCAACCGGGAATGATGATCTGAAGCAACATTCTCAGCTCCGTTCTTGTCCCGGATCTCGATATCAAACTCATGCAACAGCAGGATCCAGCGGATGAGCCTAGGCTTTGCATCAGCCTTGCTCATCAGGTAACGAATCGCCGAGTGGTCAGTGTAGACCACCACATGAGAGAGCACCAAATAGGGTCGGAACTTGTCAAACGCATACACCACAGCAAGGAGCTCCTTCTCTGTAGTGGTGTAATTCTCCTGTGCATCGTTCAAGGTCTTGGACGCGTAGTAGATGGGCTGGAAGTGCTTCTCGCGTCTCTGACCCAGAACTGCTCCGACTGCATAGTCACTCGCATCGCACATCAGCTCAAAAGGAAGAGACCAGTCAGGAGTCACCATGATGGGAGCATGGGTAAGCTTCTCCTTTAGAGTCTCAAAAGCAGTAGTGCACTCGGGAGTGAACTGGAATGGTGCATCCTTCTCCAGCAGCTTGGTCAACGGCAGGGAAATCTTCGAGAAATCTTTGATGAAGCGCCGGTAAAAGCCTGCATGACCCAGAAAGCTGCGAATCCCCTTCACAGAGACGGGAGGAGGTAGCTGACTGATCGTCTCAATCTTCGCGCGATCTACCTCAATCCCCTTCTTGGAGATCTTGTGCCCGAGCACGATACCCTCACGAACCATGAAATGGCACTTCTCCCAGCTGAGTGCCAGATTAGTCTCCTCGCACCTCTTCAGAACAAGTTCCAGGTTATGGAGACAGTGAGTGAAGGAGTCTCCATATACCGAGAAATCATCCATGAAGACTTCCATTATCTCTCCAACCAGTCAGTCGAATATCGCCAGCATGCATCTCTGGAAGGTCGCCGGTGCGTTACACAGCTCAAATGGAATCCTCCGGTAAGCAAAAGTGCCGAAGGGGCAAGTGAATGTGGTCTTCGCCTGATCCTCCGGTGCAATAGGAATCTGGAAGTAACTAGACATGCCATCCAGGAAGCAATAGAACTCATGGCCCGCCAACCTCTCCAGCATCTGATCAATGAAAGGTAGGGGAAATGATCTTTCCTGGTGGCGTCATTCAGGCGCCGGTAATCGATGCAGACTCTCCAGCCGGTCACGGTCCGCATCGGGATCAACTCCTTCTTCTCATTCGGGACCACAGTCATCCCGCCTTTCTTCGGGACCACCTGAGTGGGGCTGACCCACTTGCTATCAGATATAGCAAAGATGATCCCTGCATCCATGAGCTTCACGATCTCTGCCCGGACCACTGCCTCCAAGTTAGGAGACAATCTCCTCTGCGGCTGTCGGACTGGCTTAACCTCATCCTCCATCAAGATTCTGTGGG